GCAGGTTGAAGGCACATCGAGAGTATTTGAACTACAACACTGCACACAATATGCATCCGTGCATCACCTTTTTCTATCGCCTCCCCACCGACATGGAGATGATGCATTAGACCAAAATCTGTTCCGATGTTCAACTGATTCATGGTTGAAAACGTCAGAAAGCTGTAGCGCTGCAGGTGTTCTTATCTTCTTAATATAAAGAGAACAGTCTTTGGATAGATGTTTGAACGCAGTAGAAACAGGAAACACTGATTTCAAGACACATAAACAAACGGTAATCCCATTTCCTGGAACATGCAGGAACATGGATCTTGCCAAAGTGGAGAAAACATACGTTAACAGCCACTCCTTTTTTCGATGAGCAAATAACAGAAACAGCAACTTACTCATGGTGGGAGTAGAGGGGTGGGGGGGCAGGGTGAGGCCCAGGCAGGGCAGGGCTTTGGACAGGTGAGGTTATTCTCCACTGGGGCTTTCGTAGAGGCACTCATGACCTGATGAGGAGGAAAAGAAGATATCTATAATCACTTCTGCACAACCAGAATACACTGAACAGAAACACAGACAAACACTCAAGCCTGTAACACATATAGATTAGTTGTTGTTTTTATGTTTTATTTCCTTAATATTTCTGGGAATCAAAGGATTGCATATACAAAACTTGACACCTGAAGTCATCCATGGGAGTTTGGGAAATGTTGATTTCACTATTTTCGAGCAATTAATAGACAAATTGATATGAAAAAATATGATATAGTGCAGAAATAAGGCTCCATTTTCTACACTATGTCATCGAAATGGACAAACATTTGATCACATCGACCACACACACAGTTGATTAAGGATGTGGACCTGCTCATTAACATTTCACTGGGAGAGAAATGGCAGGGCACAGAGCGGAATGAACAGCCCTGGTTTGTGTGTGTGCGTGTGCGTGTGTGTGCGTGTGCGTGTGCGTGTGCGTGTGTGTGCGTGTGCGTGTGTGTGCGTGTGTGTGTGCGTCCACCCATCCAAATCCACCCGGTCATTGGACTACATAACAGTAATCTGATGATAGTATGCGGTAATAAGGGGTAATTTGATCACTGCAGATGCTTACTGGATGAGGGGCTGGCCAGGAAAGAGGAGGGGGGAAAGACACACACAACACGACACACACACACACACACACACACACACAACACCACACACACACAACCACACACACACACACACACACGACGACACACACACACACACACGACCGACAACACACCACAACAAGGACACACCACACACACACACACACACACACACACACAACCTCTGTGTCGCCGACAAACTTTTATTCCAAAAAAGTTCTTTCCGACTATGCTATTTACACGAATGGTCGACGGGGAAGAAGAAGTGTAAAGGTCCATCGTACAGTCTCCGCGCATCTCATGTCTCTCCAACTGGGTCAGCCCTCCCAGAAGATGTACGCATTACAAATTGTGAGATATTGTCGTCCTAGGGTGGAAAATGTTGTGCTTGTTTCTCACCGTCCAAGAGTCTTCGTAACGAGAAGGACAATTCTACTTCGACGGTAATTTCTCGATGTCAATAATTGGCAGAGATGGAGTCTTACAGCCACGTCCTTTATAAGATTTTTATATACAAGCTGAATTTCAACTCGGTACTATTTACCTTCGCGGACATATACACTACGACATACGTAACTTAGATGACTGATATTATTCGTTCCACTAAACTGTGATAGTACTATAATCCCCCCTTAGTGGTTAAAACTTAGTAATAGGTAACTTTACTTCTTCCATAATTTCCTAGATATGTTGTTTCCTAAAAATAACCAAGGCTCTTAGGTCCAAACTTCTGACGCCGTCGGTTGTGTTAACTACTTCGTATATTGCTATAAAAAGGTGTATAACGGACGGAAATGGATTTATACGTGCTACTTATAATTTGACCAGGGTATAACCCTAAGGCTAATTAACGTGTGGAAAGTAGGGGAGTAATTTTTGAGCGTTACACACTGTAGTCTCAAGTCGACTCGAATTCACGACCGACTACTCGAAACACGCGTCCTACCGAGACGAATCCCCTCCCACTAAGTGACGACACCACAGAGTCGGGCCCAATCTCCGCCTGTATACCACCGGAGATTAGGGTCCAGTGTCGGGGGGGGGGGAGAGAAAAGTCCGGTCCCCTATAATCGGCGCGACGAATCGGTCGCTCCTCCGCAGACCACGAGCAGTGACGATTTGAGTGCACAAACAACCAATTTCAAAGGAGACACAGTCGTGAACATCGATGAAATACCACCGTCGAAGATGGACCAGAGACACCGAACCGTCAAACTCATGCAGAATAAACTTGAAGAGACACTAATGAAAGTGGCAAATTGTCGGATATAGAACCCGATGACATTTGGTCTGAAAGGGCGACTGAGATCTGGAATTCTAATTTTTCACAGGTGACCGCACAAACTGCTTTTTTTTTGTTTAAAATTAATACTGACTTCGTAACGTTTAAGCTACTACTATTCAAGTACTATAGCGCATAAGGTTTACACAGGAACAGTACAAACGGTTTATCTCGACGGACACGACGTTCTTTTTACAGTGTGAACTAGACTCGTTTCATAACAAAGACCAACCCATCAGCTACTACATAACCATCCACATGAGCCTTCGCAACGGGGGAGTGCATAGTAACGATCTTCCCTAGTTACCCCACCGGTACAAAGAACAACCAAAAAACGCTTTCGCGTCTTAGCGTACACAAACAATTCAGACGCATCTATGTTACAACATCCGGTCCCTTGATAGGGACGGCGTCGAGGTGGTTGTGAAAGTTAGTTTTAACCAGAAAACGGGTGTTTAGACCTGAAAAAAAATTGTCATAGCACGAAGGTCGGATAAACTTATAACTTAGAGGTATAACGCGGAAAACTATGTTAAAGGTTAATTTGAATACGTGCGGTGACAATGGAACATCTTTTTGTGTAGTCTATATATTATATGTGTTTACTTGACACCTACTATTATATTATAGTATGTATCGTCGATGGAGCACAAGAGAATGTTTGGATCTACAAACCTTAGAACCGAGAAACAAAATTCGACCGTAGATTTTGTTTTACGCGACAAGGATTTATCCTCAAAGTTTGGAGACATCTTATTAACATTTAGGTTTGCGCACCTCCTCTTACTACCTCTATTTCCACTGGACATTCCGTCGTAGTCCGAGACGAGGTGGACCCGCAACCTACCGTCGAGTCGTGTCTGAATCGACGAGACGACAAACCTCGAAAGACGACTGTCGCCGCGACGAAGTGAGCCGTCGGCCCTCGTCCTATAACCTAAGTGGCCGTAGATCGGTCATCAGTTCGAAGTACCGGTTCTATTCCCACACCCGCTTCCTCCCCGAATTAATACGAGTAGTGGACGTAGTA